CCTTTGTAGATTCATAGTTCTCGTGAAAAAATATTGTGAAGAATTAGACACCAAAAGATAATTGGCAGTAGAAATGGTTATTGTGACATTTACTGTATGCATTGTAACGGACGCTATAAGAGTTGTGTAAAATTAGACTTTTAACACATACGCAAAAAAGTTTGTAAAGACATTTTGTGATTAAAAACTGCAGCACTGGTTACTTGAATTAGGTCAAATATTTTGGTGAGATGCCCGTGGTCATAAAAACATAATTAAATGTTTCAAAAACATTCTGCATCAGAAGGTGGATAAAATAAACTTACTAATGCATTAAAGTTTACTGCAAAGTATTCTTAAAATAAGAAAGTGTTTACTCTTTGTTATTATTGTGTTTTGCTGGCAGTATTAAGTGTAGCCTTCAACTGCGATACAAATAATTGTGGCTAAGTGTTGTTATTAATGTTACTTGGGACACTTTAGAGGTTAAAAAGCATTAAAGAATCAGGCGTTGAGCCCCAGCCGTCTGGATGAAACCCCAACTTCTAACCTTTACACCATATTGGTGTAACCAATGTATTTCAAAACATCACTTTTTTTTCTTTCCCCCACAAATGAAACATATTTGTTCCTAAAAACTCCAGAAGAAAGGAGACAACGTTAAGTAACTTTTGAAAACTGACAGTTTTAAAAACATGAATGCTTTGTTACATACAAACAGTTGTGCAAAATTACAGATTTTTAACACATGCATAAAACATTTTGTGTTGAAAAACTGCTACAGAGTGCAAAATCAAAAGCTTGAATTAGGTCAATGCTATTGGTTTGTAATATTAAACTCCAGTCATGCAGTAAGTTTAATGAATAGTATTTTAAACATCACTTTTCCAAGAAAAAAATGCACAGATAATGTTTTTATATTCAGAGTGAAAAACATTATGCTAGATTTTAGTTTGAAAATTTGAAAATGTGTGCCAATAAAAAAACATTGTTTAAAGAAGTATATACACTCCCAACAAATTGTGTGTAGTGACAATAATCTTGATTAAATCTATTGGTAGAAGAAAAGCATCATTTACCCTGTAAAAAAGTAATCAGTCTACTTTCAAGAACTACTTGTAAACTGGACTAATTTTGACAAATTTGTAGATTTAGTAGATTTGACACTGTTGTATGAACATATAAATGGTGGAATCAGTAGTTAAACTAGAAAATTTTACTATAAAACATTAAGTAGATTTAACTAAGGACTGGAGCTGTACTGTTTTTAGATAAACTGAGAGCCAATTTTTCTTCTTAAAATAATTATCAGCGTTTTCCCATTATTCTGAATAATATACATATTTCTCTTTATATGATCAAGTATTTGCAATGAAATAAAAACAGTTTAAATTTAAAATTCAGTAACTAAGTTGTCTAGTAATGCAATTACTACAATTTATTGTAATAAAATTACATTTTATTTATCTTTTGAAACAGAAATAACAATAATGTCTAAAGACTGATAAGTCCTTTTTAGTAAATATTTTATGTTGATTTTTTAAACCAACACCAGTGATGACCAGTGCTCAAAACATTAGGCTTTGGATTAACTGTATTACAATGTGTGCCATAAATTACAGGTCATGCATGTAAATAAATTGAAAACATGTTAGTCAAAGGAAAAACTTTCATTTTAAATTGTTTTTCATAATAAAAGTTTTCATTAATTATAAAGACAACTTGAATTTACATCTGTGTTTTTCAACATTTTAGAATATTACATTTTAGATAACGTTGTTTTAAAAGGTGTGACAATTTATTGTCAATAAAGATTAAGATGTGTTATTTACTGGATTAATATTGTAAACATTTTCCCAGAGATGGGTTGCGGGTGGAAGGGCATACGCTGCGCAAAACCTTGCTGGTTAAGTTGGCGGTTCATGCCGCTGTGTCCACCCATGAATTAAAAAGGGACTAAGGCGACAAAAATATTGTAAACATATTTTAATTTAATACTCCGACAAAGATACATCAAAATGTTTGTGTGTCTTAAAATATGTATTATTGTAGTAATAATGTGAAAAACAACATAACCTATTAATGAGTATTTTTAGTAAATACTGTGTCGTTGGATTCAAGCATACAAAGCCAGACCCAAGTTCGCTCAAGCGCGCACACATGCACGCACGCACGTACGCACACACAAACACATACATATGCATACAGTTGACTGCATATGGACATATAGATATCAGTACACTTTCTAATCACCTAACAACATATAGTAGTTAGTGGGAGACACCCAACACATACAATCAGATATACATATTCTACATCTGATATATATCTATCTTTCACAAGCACTTGACGGGATGTTATCCAAAGTTTTCCTTATCATCACTCACTCACACGCTCAGGCCCAGACTGCGACACAGAGGAAACATCGGTATGAACATAAAGAAATGTTTATGTTAATAGTTTATTAATTATTATATAATATAATATAATATAATATAATATAATATAATATAATATAATATAATAGAATAGAATAGAATAGAATAGAATAGAATAGAATAGAATAGAATAATAATGATATATAATATAATATAATTTAATTTAATATCTAATATAAATATTATAATAATAATATAATGTAATAATATTATATAATATGGTATAATTACAATATAAGTTAATAAAATAATGATTTAATATAACTTAATATAATATATTATAATACAATACATAATTTTATTTAATAAAATATTAATTTTATATAACTTAATATAATATAATATATTGTAATATAATAATATAATTTAGTCAAATAACTAAAAATATAAAATAATGGTTCTAATAACAGTAATTTAATTACCGTTATTATTATAATAATAATTTTATTTCTGTTTGATTAGAATTTAATTACCAATATTTTCATTACCTGGAAATAGCCTATTAATTTAATTAGACTGATAAAAATCTAATTACCGGAATTATTATTTTATATTAAACCGATAAAAATCTAATTACCGGAATTATTATTTTATATTAAACCGATAAGAATCTAATTACCGGATCTATTATTTTATATAAAACCGATAAGAATCTAATTACCGGAACTATAAAGTTTATATAAAAGGGGCGGGGCTTAGACCGGAAGTCCCGCCTTAGGGGCGGGGCTACAATCCATCAAACTTTTTGACAGGTAGTGCATCATAATAACTACTGTCGCAGGTCTTAAAAACAGATGCAGATGATAAACTTTTACTCTATTATGGTTCAATTCTACAGTGTCTCCACAAATGTTGTGTGTTTTGACCTGTGGTTTCTGGCCACCTATATTCCCAACTCAACATTGCATACCTTGTGATGTGACTATTGCAGACAAACACAATGCGATATCGATGCTGAAATGATATATTGTGCAGCTCTAGTCACACCTGATGACTTGATGTCCTGTTTTTTGGCTTATTTAGATATGTTTGTTCTATGTTGTGTGGATATTTCAGTCAAACCACATGAGAGATCATGTTTAAGGGTCTAAGTTCTCTTATTTGCTGCACACCAAGGTTCAGATGGCAGAATTATCACACTAGAGTTCATCTTAATCAAATCAAACATGCAAAGTCTGATCACACCACTAATGCATTCTTTTCTTTATTGGTCTGAACCAAATCCAAAAACAAACCACAGTCTACCAATGTGTAAAAAACTTCCTAACTTACTAACCTGTTAACAAGAACCATATCAACAACATAACATTTTTTCTTGTTTTAATGCTTGAACCATGAACAAATATAAATATAATGTTTGTCATGCATGTGGAAAACTTTGAAGGTCATATATTAATAACAATTATGTAGATAATGTGTTTTGAATTATTTGTACATTAACTATTCACATCTTAAATGTAAAGTTTTCACACAAATTTGATTCAACATGCATTTTACTAATTTTAGACAAATTAAATGGCCCTCAAATAAAGACTTTTAACATATATATATATATATATATATATATATATATATATATATATATATATATATATATATATTTTTTTTTTTTTTTTTTTTTTTTTAATAAATAATACGGATTATAGAGAAATGTTTATAAAAGTGTTTAAAAGATAAAAAGCAGAAATTGGACATTTGTATACAATGAAAGTTTTTCACTTGTGTTCAATAAATAAAGTTTACACAAAAAAAATACATATTGGGTCAGAATTTGAATTCATTTAATAATAAAAAACAATAAGATGTATGGGGAGATCAGCCCTTTAATAGTAAGAAATAGCTTTCTCTGATCTCTGATCTATATCTTAGATATAAATAAATACAAATATATACTATAAATATACATTTAATCCCCGTATAACAGTTTATACCACTGTGAATGCATAATGCATAATATATATATATAGAGAGAGAGAGAGAGAGAGAGATTGATGGTAAAATACAGCCCTCTTGTGGTTGAATAAAGTGTTACAATTTTATTTCTACTCCATGAGAATTGGGGTCTGCAACTGTTGCTTTAAGCCAGGGGTCACCAACATGGTGCCCGCGGGCACCTGGTAGCCCGCAAGGATCACATGTGTTGCCCACAGGCCTGTTCTAAAAATAGCTCACCATAGCGCCACTTACCAGTAAGCTCCATCTAATATAAAAATAATAATTTAAAATTGTTAATATTTGCAGAGATATATGAAAATAAAGTGTTGCACATTGATACATTAAATAAAGGGTATTTTCTACCCTGTTAAATCATTGTTGAAATTTGTTATTTGAGAAATTTTTATCAAACTGGTAGCCCTCCACATTGATCGGTACCCAAGAAGTAGCTCTCAGTTTCTTAAAGGTTGGTGACCTCAACAGTTTATAGACATTTTTTCTATTAACATTTTAACCAAACCTACAAGTGGCTTGTCAAAAATAATTATCAAAAGCTGTAAAATATCAATAATGAAAATAAATCTTTGCAAATGTGACCTTTGACATAAGAAACATAGCTCTTTGGGATGTTATGTGTTTATGTCTTACCTGTGTAGTTGCTGTCATCTGATGATAGACAAATAATAAATAGTCACAAACAGAAAAAAAACAAGAGGCGCAATTAAAATTTATTCAAATAATAGAACTGCACATATTTTGGTTGGTCTGACAGATAGTTAAACATACTCACAGACACATAGGGGTTTTGGTGAGTCCCATTTGCCCAGTTTGGTACAGTGTGAGATATTAAAACCCTCCAGTAGGAATCCAGCATGGCAGCTGTAATGAAGGACTGTGCCCTCTACTGGTGGTCCCGGCGGCTGCAGCGACACCCTCCCGTTCTCAAGGGACATCCAGGAGCGCGGGCACATCATCACTGAAAAGTTTAGCGACAATGTTAGCAAACATCCTTAGCACATTAGCACCTTTATCTAAACCTGAAATTACACAGCTTTAAAGTGTAATGCTACTACCACAACACCAAGCTATTGTTTACCAATAGGATACATAAAAAAGGCTGCTTGATTAAACTACTTATTTAAAACGAGTTGACAACAATTCTTAGTTTTTTTTTATTTGGAAAACCTATTTCTTTTATGTTCGATCACCATAAAATTTGCAAAAACGATTAAGTTTACGGTTTTCGAACCCTTGCTCCATTTTCTTATACAACTATAAACACAAAACCTCATCTTCAAGCACTATTACCAAAACCTCTGACTTCTCCTGCAAAATGAAACTTTTGACTCAAACAGTTTTACCTGTGTTCAAAATGAAGCAGTGCTCTCAAATAATAAACAAAGTGATCAAGAGGACATACACTATCAAGCAGTCAGTAAACAGCACAAAACAGAAAACACGTGGTTCAAAACATTGTGTTTTCAGGGAGAAGTACATTTCTAAACTCAATGTTCAGTGCCATACGATGCACTGTACTGCAGTATATAATACTAAAACTGCAGTATATAATACTAAAACTGATTTTTAGTATAATACTAAAAATCATAGATCAATACGTGATTAATTTGCTTCTTCTTCTTTGTCGACATCAACGCAGGAAGAAATCTTTTGTGAGTCGTATACAGCCCTGACATGATTCCTCACTTACAGTTAAAGTCAGAATTTTTTATCTTTCCCAAATGAATTTAACGGAGCAAGGAAATTTTCACAGTATGTCTGATAATATTGTTTCTTCTGGAGAAAGTCTTTTTTGTTTTATTACGGCAAGAATAAAAGCAGCTTTAAATTTTTTAAAAGGCATTTTAAGGTCAATATTATTGGCTCCTTTACAGTTTTTATGATTGCTCAAGCACAATTTTGAAATGAAGGCTCATTTTGTCAAAACTCTACACAAAATTTACACATCCACACACACAAACAGCAGAACACATCGGTTATTTTGCAAAATGAAACACTTCATTTAAAACTAGAATAGAATAGAATAGAATAGAATAGAATAGAATAGAATAGAATAGAATAGAATAGAATAGAATAGAATAGAATAGAATAGAATTCTAGAAAACTGTGGGTCGGACATGGGATTTTGGTCTGTGCAACAAATTGTTTTTTTTTTTTCATAGGCAAAGAGAGCACATTAAACGCAAGTAAAGTGTCTACCTTAATGTTTAAAATATCCATTTCTTGAAAATAAAATTTCAAAATGTTGAAACTTCATTATGTTCCATTCCTTTATTGTAACCAGTTTGTTGTAAAAAAAAATAAATAAATAAATAAAAATTAGAAACAACAAATCTTACAGTTTAGTAACATAAACATATACTTAAGTATCAGTTTGTTGTTAAAAAAATTGTAAGAAGCAACATCTTTTAGTATACAGGTATGTTAGTTATGCATATGATTTTTGTTTGTTTGTTTGTTTGTTTGTTTGTATAGCTGATGACCAGTGTTGTGTTTATATTTATGATTAACTTATGTAGCAATGTTGTCCTGCGAGACAAGACATTTTGTTCCTCTGTATGTCCGAACATGTAGTGGAATGACATTAAAGCTCGACTTGACTTAATATACAACTGATTCTGAACTGTATTTACAACCCCAATTCAGAAAAATTTGGGACAGTATGGAAAACGCAAATAAAACAAGAAAGTAGTGATTTCTAAATTTACTTTGATTTATATTTCACTGCAGACAATACAACAAACATTATTTAATGTGTTCCTCATGATTTTATAGGGGCCAAAAAAAAAAATCCAATTTTGGTTCTTGCAATACATTTTTTAAAAAGTTAGGACGGTAAATCATTCACCACTTTGTAATGGTGCCATTCCTTTTCATAACACTTAAAAGACATTTATGGCATGAAGACACCAAGTGATGAGTTTTCTGGTGTAATTTCGCCCTATTCCTTCTGTAAACAAGTCTTTAGGTGGACAACAGTACGGGGTCTTCGTTGTCGCATTTTGTGCTTCAAAAAGTTTCTGCTTAATAAAGAATTATAAAAAAAAATGCTCCACACATTCTCTATTGGAGACAGGTCGGGATTGCAAACAGGCCAGTGTGACGAGTCTCTTTGACCAACCCACTGATTGGCCGAAAGCGGGAAGTACAGAGACTCATCTGCTCAATTGGGAACACCTGTTTTCCCCCCTATAAAAAGCCAGCAGTGTTGGCTTGTGGAGTGCCGTGCTTTTGCTTCTGTTTGTTTTGTTTTGTTTATTTTCAGCTTTGGTTAATATTTGATTTTGCTGACCTAAAGTAAGCACTTGATTATTCTTTAATGTTTAAATAAATACTTTTCTGTACCAAACCATCCTGTGTATGTCCTTCCTTTAATTTGTCATTGCCTTTGAGCCGGGTCGTGACACCAGTCAAGCACCTGACCAGACCAGACCAGACCAGACGGTTACCAGCAACAAGTCAAAAAAAAAAAAAAATCCCAATAAAAACTTTATTGTTATTGAGGAATAATGTTTGTTGTATTGTCTGCAATGAAACAAAAGTCAAAGTAAGTTTAGAAATCACTACTTTCTTTTTTATATTAGTTTTCCATACTGTCCCATCTATATCTGATTTGGGGTTGTATTAAAATACATAAAAATGCATGACCAGACTAGCTTTTCCACGATATTTAAGGATTTAATATGACAATTGATTAGTATTTTGGTCCTGTATGATAATCCTTAAATAAAAAAATAAAATAATTGTTTTTGATATGTCAACAAATTGTTATTTTTGCAAATGTGGCGGGGAAAAACTCACTAACAAGAGTGTAAATCTTCTTTAAATCAATGTATGAATAGCATTATTATAGACTCATAAATAAAAATGGAATTAAGCAAGAGAGAAACGTTTTGATGTCAGAAAAACATTTCATTTTTGACCTTTATACACATGTTCATGTTTAATACATGGAAGTTAGCAAAATAAATTAAGAATAAATCTACATACATCTACATAAATCTACTTTATTATATTACACAATATATAATATAATAACACAATACGAAATAAGTTCATTACATAAAAGCACTTGAGCTAAAAATGCTGTTACTGACCAAACAGAATCCAGTATTCCAGAGAGCCGTGTAACCAATATCAATATGAATCAATGGAACAGGACAGTCGGGGAACTTACAGCATCTGCTGAGCTGGTTAATATCAGTCCAAGTGCCATCGGGAAGGCACTTTCGAACTTTGGGTCCCACAATAATTCGGCTTCCTCTACAGATATATTCAATCTCATAGTCTACCGGTAAGATCTGCACACTGCGGATCTACAGACAGAGAAACAGAGAGAGATGTTTACTGGATTGAATTAGATGTTGCTGGAAGGTCACAGTCCTATCAGAACTGGCATTGATGTTTATAGCTGCCAGTTTAATGTGCCGCTTGTAGACTCTTACCTGTTCCTGAGTCAGTCCTCTGTAGCGTATCCCTCCGTCTCTGGGGGGACGAATGATTGCACATCCTGAAAGAGACGGGGGAGGATCAAACGCACAGAGCGGAAAGGTTTTCAGCTTAGTCAGAATACACAAATGTACATCAACAGAGAAAAATGACATGTTTCTGGTGAATCTGTATTTGATATATTCACAAGGCTGTATTGCTATTCTGTTTTAAAAGGATTTTAGCCCTTGTGCATCCTCGTGGACATTTTGTTTGATGATTTTTGTGGTAATTTTGATGGTACTGCAAGGCTGTAAGAAAAAAAAGGATTGCAATGAAAGTTATGGAAGAGATCATTTAATTTATTTTCTTATGGTAATGTAAACAGCATAAATTTGATCAAAAATGTGATACTATTGCACCCTTATTTTATTTTGTAGATCTTTTTTAAACTAGGTACAAATATAGTAACTCTCAGGACATTCCGGACAGAAATGTCCTTACAAAAAAATAAAATAAAATAGCATTTTTGGAACAAAAACTCAAAAATTAGTTTATAAATACGCTTAAATTTTTTATTTTTCTTTATTTATTGTAAAATGTGTCATTTTTTACAGATTTCTTGTTTTCTTTTGAGCACTTCAGGCCAAATGAGTTTTTAAAAAAATGTAATAATAAAGGTGTGAGTGTGTTGGTAAAGATATCAGCGTTTTTATATATATGAACTTAGATATTTGTATAAGATTTTAAGTGGCAGTTTTTGAGATTATATTGTTTCTGATCATTGACTTATGAAATCTTATAATAATGAAAAAAAATATCTGCTTAGCCATGAAGATATGAAAATAATACACATTACTGTTTTTCTTCACACAAACAGCAACGGCATTATGCAAACAAATTATAAATAAGGGGTTCAAATCATTAAAATACATGTTTGTTTTTCATAAAAAGCAATCTATTTCATTTATATATGTTTCATTATTTCATATTTATTTCAATATTCATGTTAAGACAGCATACTATCACTTAATATTTAAAAAAATCAATATTTGAAACATGGAAGAAATGTTGTCCATTGTTAACAAGCTATAAAGGGTTCAAATCCATAAAATAAGTGTTTTTTTCATGAAAGCAATCTATTTCATTTAGAAAGGTTTCATTTATTCATATTTATTTCAATGTTCATATTCAGACAGCATAATATTATTGTTTTTACTTAATAATTAAGAAATCATTATTTGAAACATGGAAGAAATGTTGTCCATCGCAAACTAAAGGGTTAAAATCCTTAAAACACGTCTTTTGTTTTTTATAAAAGCAATCTATTTCGTTTAAAAAAAGTTTTATTTATTCATATTTATTTTAATATTCATATTTAGACAGCATAATATTATTGTTTTTACCTACTAATTGAAAAAAGGATTATTTGAAACATGAAAGAAATGCTTTCCATTGCAAACAAACTAAAATTAAAGGGTTAAAATCCTTAAAATACACCTTTTGTTTTTCATGAAAGCAATCTATTTCATTTAAAAAGGTTTCATTTGTTCATATTCATTTCAATATTCATGTTTAGACAGCATAATATTAATGTTTAATGTTTCAAAATATTAATATTAATGTTCAAATTTCAATATTAATTTATATTGGGCAATACAATAATTCGATACATTATATGAGCAATATCACACCAGTAGCAGTGCGATATGGTATCAGCACTAGTAGGAGGCGTGAAGCAGGCAAAGTGCCTTAATGTCCCACCAGTGACAATATACAGCCATATTGCACTGCTCCGAGTGTGATATTGTGTTTATACAACAGTTTGATGGCGCAATCATGCATATAAAAAAGAAAATTAAGCACAGAGTCTAAAAACCCTTTTGTAAGAGGAACTACTTTCTTCTGCCATTTAATCACATCTGCAGCTGATGTCAGAACAGGAGAAAGGGTTGCTCATTCACCAACGTCACTTTAGAGCTAGTATTTGAATGATTCTCCTGCGTAATGTCAAAAGTGATGACAAAACAGGTGATTTTACTGACAGTTAAACATTATAAGGCTGAACAGCATGAAATTCCATCAGTCTGCAGAGATCTCTCAGTATTTCTATGTTGCATTCGAGAGATCACAATAATTAACCCCGCCAAAAAAATGTGTTTGCGCTAAGGAAAATGCTAAACACATGCAGGCATTTCTTCTTTCTTTCTTTTTAGCTGAGTCAGCAGTAATGAAAACAGGAGACTAATTAGAAACAGATGGCCAACCAAAAAGTAACTCAGGATTATACAAAGAGTGGCCAAGACAAAATTCATTCCTGATATGCAAGTCCCATCTCACAATCAATACACTAAAATTACATGGTGTAAATACAGCACTACAACATACAAAAGAGAGGGATCGGATTAGAATATCACTTACTAATTTTATAATGATCTGATCAGCTGTAGTTTGAAATTGCGCTGTTTTTTATCTTCTGAGCACTTATTATGCAGTCTCTGTCACCATCTTGTGGATGGACAACATCAACCGTCTTTGCTCAATGAGAGGCTAATTGTCGCTGACGCGGTCTCTCAGAAATTATAAATATTTAAAATAGGCAGTATCCTTATAAATAAACCGTATAGTTGCAATCTAAACAACTACATTCTCGACTAAAAAAAGCCTATAGAGTACATGATGTTGCCCAACAGCTGCAATATTTGTCAAACTTTAGAGTGTCCTCTGCTTGTTGCTGTATGTGGGCGGAGTAATACACAAGGGTGAAGGGGCGGTACGAGTGCTGTTATTTGCACAATATTGCACGGCTATTAGCCAATCATATTCAAGAACCGGAAAGAACTGTTGTATAAATGATAATAAATCATAAAAGGGAAAAGTAGTTGATAGTATTAAAGCATATACAGTTGAAGTCAGAATTATTAGCCCCCCTGAATTATTAGCGCCCCTGTTTATTTTTTTCACCAATTTCTGTTTAATGGAGGGAAGATTGTTTCAGCACATTTCTAAGCATAAAAGTTTTAAAAACTTATTTCTAATAATTTATTTTATTGGATTTATTTTATCTTTGCCATGATGACAGTAAATAATATTTTACTTGATATTTTTCAAGACATTTCTATACAGCTTAAAGTGACATTTAAAGGCTTAACTAGGTTAATAAGGTGAACTAGGCAGGTTAGGGCAATTAGGCAAGTTATTGTATAACAACGGTTTGTTCTGTAGATTATTGAAAAAAAATTTGCTTAAAGGGGCTAATAATTTTGTTCCAAAAATGTTTTTTAAAAAAAATAATAACTGCTTTTAATCTAGCCGAAATAAAACAAATAAGACTTTCTCCAGAAGAAAAAATATTATCAGACAAACTGTGAAAATTTCCATGCTCGGTTAAACATCATTTGGAAAATATTAAAAAATAAATAAATAAAATCAAAAGGGGGCCAATAATTCTTACTTCAACTGGATATATGCTTAATATACTACACTGTACATAACGCCGAATTGCATTGATTCCTCAAGACTGTAGGATATACATTGCTTTCACAATGAAAAGAGAGAACTGACAATGCAATCAATATTTTTCCTTCTATAGCTCTGGCAGAACATGATCCCACAAGGACTGAGGGCAACTCACCATTTCAAATCCATACAACTCAGTTTAAAGCATCTAAACAGAACGACCTTTAATCTCACAAAGCATAAGAGATTAGCCACTTTAGATGTTCAGTTGTGATTCAACATGCTTTAGTCAGACATACACACACACAGTTTACCTCCGGTCGTTGAATTATGTATAGATGAGACGAGAGTAGGAAGCAAGTAGAAAATTACAAGAAATAATAGCTGCTCCATTACTGCATCTGAGAAGAGAGAGAGAGAGAGAGAGAGAGAGAGAGAGAGAGAGAGAGAGAGAGAGAGAGAGAGAGAGAGAGAGAGAGATGACTAATAATATACTTGATTTCAGGTCACAATACATGCTCATTTCAAACCAATTAAACTGCTCGTGGCATGATGTGATCTTGTTGGCATTCAGATGTGTTAAACATAATAATAACCTGCTGTCTCATTTAATTACAACTCATACTGTTGAGGAGGAGGAGGAGGAGGAGGAGGAGGAGGATTCGTTTAGCTGTTGCTGCACTGTAAAGATTTTATGAGCTTTGCCTCAAGTGGGAAAGCACATCAAGGGTGGGTCAAAAGAGAGAATGCGAAACAAACATAAGCAGACGACTCTAACACACACGCGGGCGCGCACACACATCTTATAAAGACATCTCAGGAGGACAAAACATTGAACAGGGAGTGCGCCTTCATGAACATTGACATCTGTATTAAAAACACTAGAATCTAAAGAGGTCAGTATTACTCGGATAGAAAGATGGATGGATGGATGGATGGATGGATGGATGGATGGATGGATGGATGGGTGGCTAGGTAGGTAGGTAGGTAGGTAGGTAGATAGATAGATAGATAGATAGATAGATAGATAGATAGATAGATAGATAGATAGATAGATAGATAGATAGATAGATAGATAGATAGATAGATAGATAGATAGATAGATAGATAGATAGATAGATAGATAGATAGATAGATAGATAGACATACGACATGATACATACAACAAATAGAAAGACAGGAACACGGATGGACGGATAGATAGACAGCCGGACGAACGGATGGACGGACGGTAGGACAGACAGACAGACAGACAGACGGATAGATGAATAGATAGATAGACAGACAGACGGACGGATAGACAGACAGACGGATGGACGAACGGACAGATGGATAGATAGATAGATGGATAATGGACATGGACGGACGGACGGACGGACGGACGGACGGACGGACGGACGGACGGACGGACGGACGGACGGACGGACGGACGGACGGACGGACGGACGGACGGACGGACGGACGGACGGACAGACAGACAGACAGACAGACAGACAGACAGACAGACAGATAGATAGATAGATAGATAGATAGATAGATAGATAGATAGATAGATAGACATACGACATGATACATACAACAAATAGAAAGACAGGAACACGGATGGACGGATAGATAGACAGCCGGACGAACAGATGGACGGACGGTAGGACAGACAGACAGACAGACGGATAGATGAATAGATAGATAGACAGACAGACAGACAGACGGACAGACGGACGGATAGACAGACAGACGGATAGACGGACGGACAGATGGATAGATGGATAGATGGATAGATAGATAGATGGATAATGGACATGGACGGACGGACGGACGGACGGACGGACGGACGGACGGACGGACGGACGGACGGACGGACGGACGGACGGACGGACAGACAGACAGACAGACAGACAGACAGACAGACAGACAGACAGACAGACAGATATAGGACGGACGGACGGATGGATGGATGCACAGACATAGTAAGATAGATAGATAGACAGACAGACAGACAGACAGATGTTTACTCCAAGTGCTGGAGTGTCTCAGTAAGGGGGAGCAGGAGATTGAGTGCTGAAGGTGAGGATCAGAGGGATCAGTTAAACTTTAAACAAGTCTCTCTCTGCTGCTGCTCTCTCCTCATTAATTCTGTACAGCGCTGGTGGAGCACGGCACTTCAAAATCCCCACTTCACAGATTACAGTAATCCAAACACACACACAACAGCAGCCACTAACAATGATTGGTTTGCATTGCACTGTTGAACAAATACATTTTCAGCTTTTTTTTTTTCGATTATCCTAATTGTCCATGAGGTTCATATTTTAGATATTAAACAAATTAAGTCTATATTAAACTTCACACAACTCTGCATGAGTGGGTTATAGTGAAGTGATGATGGTGCATTCATATGACTGACAGACTTATTTACTTTCTTTGTGGGTTCATAAATTCATTCATTCATTTTCTTTCAGCATAGTCCCTTTATTAATCTGGGGTCACCACAGCGGAATGAACCGCCAAATTATCCAGCATATGTTTTACACAGCGGATGCCCTTCCAGCTGCAACCCAGTACTGGGACACATCCCTACACACTCATTTACATTCAAACACTACGGCCAATTTTGTTAATTCAGTTCACCTTTTGCGCATGTCTTGACTGTGGGGGAAACCGGAGCACCCATAGGAAACGCACACAAACACAGGGAGAACATGCAAACTCCACACAGCAATGCCAACTGACCCAGCCAGGACTCAAACCAGTGATCTTCTTACTGTGCTAACCACGGCTTCATAAATTAATGTTGTCTGACAATACATATAATATATACAAATATTATGTGTTGTTATGCTTCATTATATTTAATATTGTGTCACATTAAAAATATTACACAGCTTAACGGTTTGCCTAATTAAAAAGATGCCAATATATTGGTGCAGGAATGCAAGTTATTATTTACCATTTTGTAGAATGAAATGCCTAAATATAATAATAAAATGATTACTATTATTATCATTACTATAAAATGTATCATTTCAAAACTCATCCATTGTTTGAGCATGTCACTTTTAACATTTCATCACTGTTGATATAACATGTTCATCAATGTAATAAAAATACTAATATCTAACAGTAAAATACATATATTGTATATTTTATTTTAACAAACTATATATGTGATATATTTTAACAAAACTAATATTGAACAGTAATAAATGTATATTTTATCATTTATAGCATATACATTTATTAATGTTAGATATTAGTTTTGTTATGACATACAGACTCATAGCTAGGCCCACCTGGATTCTGCGCACGCAGATTTACACAGATTTTTAGCCCATCATTATTCTGTTTATTTACTTGAGTAAATGTGTGTAAATCTATATTCATTCAGTTTTTTAACTAATTTCAGTAATATTGTTGACTAATGTGAAAATGTTCATCTGATTTATGTACAATGCAGTTTGTACAGTAATATTTTCTGTCTTTTACTGTATATATTATATGACAAAATTGCTTTATTTACCAGAAAATGTTAATCTAATTGGATTTGCATTTAAAACATTAAACAAAAGTTAATAAAGATATTATTTTTAATTTCATATATTAAGGTTTTAGTAATAATACTCTCAAAATAATTCCACAGAAATCTGCAGACTTTTACCAAAATTCTCTGCAGAAATAGCAAAAACCATCCGCAGATTCCGTCTGGCCCTACTCATAGCCAGCCTAGTGAAAGGGGTGCTTCTTTTTTCTTAAAAAGTGGAGCTTTTAGCAGCTATTCGCCTCATTTTCTATTTAATTATGAGGTTTGAATAGGTTGCATTTTAGTGACATTTTAAGCACTATTTTTAGCTGGATTAGCTGTGGATGATGGATGGTCATCAAAACCATTTTTTTTTTTTTTTGATGTACCAAAAACATTTTCTAAAGATTTACAACAATTATCATTTACATCATATATAAATGAATTACATAATATATCATTAGAAAAAAAAAACTGTAGTCTGTTAAAGTTTTTAATTAAAAACTTGCCGTATGTCTCATTAAAATATCATTCATTTAAATAGTAAACTGGCCTGCACATTCAACTTTCCTCATTCACGCAAACTCAATAGCCAACACAGGATTCCGCTTGGTGTTAAAGCCTTCTTCAATGGATTATTTTCACTATTTATTATGGAAGGTTATGGTATGAGACAAATTCTGGACCTTTGACAGGGAGGGTTGGGTCTCTCAAACCATGCCTGGCAAAACATGTATAAACGTTATATAAACAGTGATGAAGTATACAAGGTAACATGCTGAAAAAGAGGATGAATTGAATTTAAAATGCATTTTTAAAGAGATTCAACTTAAATTAAGATAATAAAAGTCCAACTGTACATAAGATCATTACGAGAGACTTTTCATAAAATCTCTTCAAAACAGATTTTATTCAGAATTATGACCAAAAAACCCATGTATTTACTTATTTATATATATAAGTATATATATATATATATATATATATATATATATATATATATATATATATATATATATATATATATATATATATTTTACAACACAACATTGCCCAAAGCGCTGAACACAATCAATACTAATTAAAATAAGCCCATGCATCACATACTTAACAATTCAAACATAAGGCAAACCCCTCAACATTAAAAAGGTTCAAATAGTTTCAGAAGCTTTTTAAAAACAGATCGAGTTGGAGAGTGTCAAATGTGGGGTGAAAGCCCCTTGCAGAGTTTTGGGGTGATAACATCAAAAGCCTGATCCCCACTTCGCTTACACTGGAACCTTGGTACAGAAAGAATAAACCGATCAGTGACCTACCAGGATTATTTACATGTAGGAGATCTGACAACTAAAGTGGTGCCAGATCATTTAAGGATTTAAAAACATGTAAAATATGTAGATATTTTTATTTTTAAAGCAGCATTTGGTCAAATTAACATTAATAGAAATAATGGATTATGGAGGATTTAATTTACAGATCAGCTTATGTCTTTCTCCTTCACGTTATTTACCATGCAGCAATTCGTTTTGTTACTGCTGCGCTATTTACGTTACCACAGACTGGGAGAGGGATTATTATCTATGCTGTTTTTACTGGTTTATCTTTGTCCACCATTCGCTGGGTGAAAATAAGTGCCTCTGCGGTTGCAAAACGTGACATAAGGTATAATATATATATGTATATATATATATATATATATATATATATATATATATATATATATATATATATATATACACACACACACACACACACACACACACACACACACACACACAAATATACTTGAGTTAATTAAACTCTAATTTAAATCATTACCACATTCTATGGTTATGCAATATGACAATATATATCGTATATACAAAACAAAACATCCAATTTTTCTTTCATCATGCTCTATCATTTATATAGTGGTGTCACATAATACATATTTACATTAATACTTTTGCAGAATTCATGAGTACAATACTAAACTGCTTAATGTGGATGCAGCAATATTTTATGTTGGACTTTTAATCCTTAGTTTTTGAAAAGTGTTTTATATTTTATTTACTATTTATTATTTTACATTCTTAATCAAACATTTGCCCTGAAGTTCGAAATAAAGTGAAAATGATCACATACGATTGAGAAGTGTAGTTTACTGTTTAGGGTTACACGTCTCACGTTAAATACGTTTTTAACCTATAAATGTTTTTAAAGAATTAAATGGAAAGAGTAACTTGTTTTTGTTTTTCCCTTTGCAGTCGTGTTTCAGCATTGATGAGCAGCTCAAGAAAAACCATCAACCATATTCTATCCATGAGGAGGAGTCAAGACAAAATTAACTGATACTACATTGCTGTGAATGACAAGTGCGAGGTGCTTCTGTTCTCCTTAGTTCACAATATTTTAAAAATATCCGAAAGATGAGCTGCCAGTGTTCTGTAAAAAAATTAATTCAGTAAAACTTTTCTCGTATAAGGTGAAAATGTTTACTATGTGGTTGAAAACGTGTTAAAGTGCTGTTAAATGTGCATTGTGATGCTTTCAGGTGATGCTTTCATAAACATTAAACATTGTAACATTCAAAATGCATATGGACCAAATGTGAATGCTTATGTTTTTATGATTTTCCTCTGTTCTAGGCAGTGTTTTAATTACTTATTGAAAACAAAACATTTCTGTATGACTACAGGGGCTAATGCTTTACATGTTTTTACATATCAACATGCAGGGAATTTAGTTTTTTTATTAAAACTCAAATGTGAAAAGTTTTAAAATTGGTGAAAAATTTTCTATTGGTTTATTATGTCACTAATTAGCTCTGAACCAACAATAATTAAGTTTAAATGTTTTATAATGCATGACTAGACCCACACAGAATCAGCGCACACAGAATCCTGCAGATTAGCAAAAGACGTCCGCACATTCCGTCTGGCCCTATGTATGACTAGCATAGTATGTATTGCATTTATAAAGTATGTTTGTTTGTATACTTTATTGTCCCTCAAGAGGAAATTTTCTGTGGACTCACACAGCACTTCAGCAAGTTCTGCCAAAATAACAATTAAAAATAAGCAAACATGCAAGATAATTATATACACTACCGATTAGTGTTCAACAGTCTGATTGACACAGGGATAAAAGAGTTCTTAAGTCTGCTCCACTTGCAGCAGAAGGTTCTGTATCTTCTACCAGAAGGTAAAAGATTGTAAAATGGGAAAAGTACAAGAGAGGGGTTATTTAAAATTCTTTTCACTTCATTCAGAGTTAATTGCTCATGAAGTGTTTGATTACTAGTAAAAGTTTTAGATCCTATTAGTCTCATAGCAGTTCTCATAATATAAAAAATTTAGATTTCAAATTTACAGAAAGAGTGCCATACCATGTAAATAGATCATACATGAAAACACTCTCAAATACATGAATATTATATGAATAATTACTGATAAAACAAGAAAGAAATTTGTAACTCTTGGGCCAGTGTTAAACTGTTAACACTTTTAAAAATGTTAATTTAACTCTGGCCAGTGTGGATTATACATATACACCGGTAAAATGTTAAAATGAACTCTCAGAGTTGAATTGACACTGTTGATTTTGCTGTGCAGTAATACTCATCACTGTCAACCGTATTCTTCATTAATCTGGCCTCTTCAATAACATTGACAAATTCCTTGGTTTACATTCATTTACAAAACTCCTATTGGGAAAACTCCACTATATTTAGTCACTTCTTAACACTAAAACATGTCGACATCTGCGCTCTATATTTTTTATTAATTCGCACTTCATTTGGTCGCTACTCTTTTCAGTTTTCTGCTGCTGATGCTTGGAATAATCTGCAGCAGACCTTAAAGCTCCACACTTTCATTCGACTATCATGCTTTAAAAATTCAATCCAGTTCATAGTATAAGATCACCATGCTTGTCTTTAGTTTTTCCTTGCTTTTATATGTTATTATCTGCATCTGTGGAACTGTTTTTGTATTGTCTCCCTGCTGTTTTATATCTGCTTGTTATGTTGCCTCTTGGCCAGATCGTCATTGGTTCTCAATTGACTTACCTGGTTAAATAAAGGTTATTATTTATAGGAATGAACTCATTTATGCTCAAGTTTTTAAGTGTTTTTGCATTTCTTCTAAATATATTTAATATTTAATTAATGAAGCATTTAGCTAATAGTATTGAACAATAATAATAGCCATTTTATGATCATATCTGACATTTTATTCTGTTGCACAAATATGTTCAGAGTTTCCTAATTATGCAAACTGTGAAGCGGTCTAATATTGTAGATATCACACAATAAAATATCTCACGACAGCGTCACGAATATTCAATTGTTTTGCTAATTTTACGGTCCCGTTCGTGGACACATTTTCAGCACCACGGACAGCGTAAAGACGCAGCACCGACGCTTCATTCACAATAACGCTCTGTTGTATAATCTGCTCTAAAAATATATGTAGTCTGCTGGATGCTTCCTTCAACTTTCCAAATTAACATGGCTGCTTGCGTCGTCGGCGTATACTGTAACGTTAGTAGTTAGTCTGTTTGTGAAGTTTTCTGTCCCGCGCAAAGCAGGCGGTTCCGTGAGACAAAACCCCGATGTCAAATAAAGCAGCTGTCAAATAAAGCACATCCCAACGAATAAGCAAACCGAAACGAACGCGGGAATGAAGTGAAAAGTGTTTTACTCACAGCAAAGGCCCGGTGCAGCTCCAGCAGGACCGACCCGAAGAAAATCAGCGTTCAGTCAGAGTTTCAAAATAATATCCGCCGATGTCGTTTCTGATAGTGCAAATCTGTGCATCACGGTGGCGAGCTGCTGTATGGCTTTTGAAGGGAATTCGGCGGTGTATTGCTTGGCATTAGATCATCGCAGGTGTAAAATCACGGGCTACATGGAAGAAATATTATCTACATTGCGCTCATCCTTCCTCCTTCCTTCCTTCTTTTTTTTCCACTCCCTCCTCAATCTCACTTACTTGTGACGTAACGGGGGAGCGCAGCATACGTCACTTCATCCTTGCCTCACGAGTCATCGGCTGGGCATCTACAAGATCAACTGTTTAAATACTTCATGGTCAAAAGTTTCGCTTTCTCTAATAATTTACTGTATTTTATTATTAATTATTTATTTTAATTATTATCTATTGAATTGTGTTTTGTTACGTTGATGTTATGCTCATTTAAATAAATAACTAGAGTTTACACAATAAAATTATATTTATTTCTGTAGTACTCATATAAAAAGTTTATGTTAATCACTATCTATCTCTATCTCTCTATCTATCTGTGTATCTATGTATCTCTCTTTCTCTCTCTCTCTCTCTCTCTATATATATATATATATATATTTATTTATTTATTTATACACATGTATACGTATCTCTCTGTATGTGTATATATATATACATATATATATATATATATATATATATATATATAGAGAGAGAGAGAGAGAGAGAGAGAGAGAGAGAGAGAGAGAGAGAGAGAGAGAGAGAAAGAGAGATACATAGATACACAGATATGTATATACATACATATATATATATATATATATATATATATATACATATACATATACATATATACACACACACACACACACACATATATATATATATATATACATATATACATATACATATACATATACATACTTATACATATATATATACATATACATACATATACATACACATATACATACATTATATATATATATATATATATATATATATATATATATATATACAATATGTGTATATAAAATATTTGTAATGTTAAATTTATATTTTATTTCAATGTATTATTTATACATAGTTTTTTATTAATTGTTTTGCATTAGTTATTGGAATTTGAATAAAAAAATTCCAAGATTTTGATTACAATTTTTCATCATTTAGAGATTCCACTATACAATTACACTCACCGGCCACTTTATAAGGTACACCTCCAATTGCTCGTTAGCGCATATTTTTATCAGCCAATCACATGCCAGCAACTAAACGCATTTAGGCATGTTGACGATGATCTGCAGCAGTTCAAACTGAGCATCAGATCGTGGAAGAAAGGTGATTTAAGTGACTTTGAATGTGACATGGTTGTTGGTGCCAGACGGGCTGGTCTGAGTATTTCAGAAACTGCTAATCTACTGGGATTTTCTCTAGGTTTTACAGAGAATGGTCTGAAAAAGAGGAAAAATCAAGTGAGTGGCAGTTCTGTGGGCACAAATGCCTTGTTGATGCCAGATGTCAGAGGAGAAGGCCAGACTGGTTCAAGCTTATAGAATGGCAATAGCAACTTAAATAACCACTCGTTACAACCGAGGTATGCAAAAGAGCATCTGTGAACGCACAGCATGGCCAACCTTGAAGAAGATGGGCTAAAGCAGCAGAAAACCACACCGGATGCCACTACTGTCATCTAAGAACAGGAAACTGAGGCTACAATTCACACAGGCTCACCAAAATTTGACAATAGAAGATTGGAGAAACATCGCCTGGTCTGATTTTCTGAGTCTCGATTTTTGCTGCAACATTCGGATGGTAGGGTCAGAATTTGGCATCATCAACATGAAAGCATGGATCCATCCTGTCTTGTATTAACAGTTCAGGCTGCTGCTGGTGGTGTAATGGTGTGGGGATATTTCCTTGGCACATTTTGAGCCCATTAGTAACAATTGGGCATAGTGTCAACGCTACACCCTACCTGATCTTCTAATGGCTACTTCCAGCAGGATAAGGCACCATGTCATAAAGTGTGAATCATCTCAGACTGGTTCATGAACATGACAATGAGTTCACTGTACTCAAATGGCCTCCACAGTCACCAGATCTCAATCCAATAGAGCACCTTTGGGATGTGGTGGAAGGGGAGATTCGCATCATGGATGTGAAGCCGAAAAATCTAGAGCAGCTGATGGATGCATTCATGTTAATATGGGCAAAACTCTTTGAGGAATATTTCCAGTACCTTTGTGAATCTATGCCACAAAGAATTAAGACAGTTCTGAAGGCAAAAGAGGCTCCAACCCGGTACTAGTAAGGTGTACCTAATGAAGTGGCCGGTGAGTGTTTATATGGAAAAACAAAATGCATATGAAAAAGACCTGTCAACACAATTATGTGACAAATTATTAAGAAATATATTTTTCTATAAATATATATATTTTTTATTCTTATAATTATTTTAATACAACAGTTTTGCAGTAACTAAAAAAGCATATGATTATAGTTAATAAAAAATAACATCTTCACAATTACGTGCATTATATTTTATATAAATACATTATTTTCATATCATTTTATTTTCTGTTTATATATTATAAATTGCAAAAAAAATCAGCATTTTTCTTTTATTTAAATCTATAAGTATTAATATAAAAAGATTTCTTACTACGTAAAACCTTTTAAACAAATAATATTTATGCACAAACACATTTACCCACAGCCAGACATAAATTAGACATTTTCCCCCTCCTCCAGGTTTGTCTTTTCTTCCCCCCAGCCATTCATTATGGGTGCAGCCTTCTATTTATACTTTGCTCTTTAATAATTGAGAAGAGATGAATCCTTTCGAAGAGTCTATTTTCAAGGCAACGTACTGTAAAAAATGAGGTTTTAGCAGAATGAAGACAAGCTAATTAAGCAAACGTCTCGACTGAACTCAAAATGTCAAGTAGCCTCGAAAATGCCACCATTATAATAATGACCCACCTAGTTTTAAGTAACTTGGAGGCTGGTTTTAAACAGTTTCATGCAATTAATTCTCTTTATACACATTTTAAATGTGCAAATATTATGTGAATAATCTCTTGAGAATAAAATGCATAAATATTCACTATGTAACAAATAACAAACTCATATTTTCGGTAAAAATAAATAAATAACCTTATAAATAAATCAGATTATACATATATACATACATAATAAATGTGTGTGTATTTTTAGATATTTATATGTATAAATACACACATACTGAACATAAAATACAAAATTGTATAAGAATAAGTTCATTTTTACATATAATATATAATATTTTAACACAGTCGATGTGCACATTGCGATATTGATGCAAAAATGATATTGTGCAGCACAATATACTGTATATATGAGTAATATCACATGAGCAGCAGTGTGATATGGCTGTATATCGGTGGGAGGCGTACTCCACCAGAGCTATTATACAGCCATATCGCACCGCTATAAGTGTGATATTGTGTTTATACAACAGTTCGACGGCACAGTCGTGTCTATAAAAAAGAAAATCAAACACAGAGTCTAAAAACCCTTTTGTAAGAGGAACTACTTTCTTTTGCCATTCATTCAGATCTGCAGCTGAAGTAAGAACAGCAGAAACCGTTGCTAATTCACACACGTCACTTTAGAGCTAGTGTTTGAATGATTCTCTAGAGTAATGACTAAAATGATGACAAACAGGTGATTTTGCTCACATTTTAAGATTATAGGGCTGAACGGCATGAAATGCCATCAGTCTACAAAGATTTCCCAGTATTTCTCTGTTGCAATCCGGAATCGGGATATCACAATAATTATCCCTGAAAAAGCTAAAGCAGCACAAACACTATCAGACCACTGTTTTGTTTTCATAAGGAAAATTGCTAAACACATGCGGGCATTTCTTCTTTCTGTTTACTGAACTAGTCTGCAGAAAAAAAAAACAGGAGACGCATTAGAAACAAATGGCCAACCAATAAGTAAAGAAATTACTCCTCTTTTTTCTCCTTTTTCTCCTCGTTTTTCTCCTCTAAGGGCTTATTATGCGGTCTCTGTTGACATCTTGTGTATGTCGTTGTATCGCCAAAATTATAAATATTTAAAATATTCAGTATCTTTATAAATAAACTGCATAGTTGCAATCTAAACAACTACATTATCACCTAAAAAGCCTCAAAATTACATTATGTTGTTCAACAGCTGCAATATTTGTGAAACTGTAGTGAGTTTATTCATGTGCTGTCACTGTGAGTGGAGTAATACAAAGCGTGAAGAGGCTTTAGGAGTTCTGATATTGCAGAATGTTGCACTGCTATCAGCCAATAAGTTTCAATGAAACTGAACTATATATATATATATATATATATATATATATATATATATATATATATATATATATGCAAGATATAAAATGTTGAGTCTGAGTTATAGTTGACCAGAACATGTGATTTGTAGATTCGTTGCTAAGTTCAACCATAAGTGTGAACTTTTATCCTTTGAATGTGTTTATAAGGCCTGTTATTGAGCATTTCAAGACCGTTTAAAACATTTGAGCACAAAAAATTATGTTAACAAAGATTAATTGTAGTTAATTATTCATAATTTATACGATTTATGCAACAAAAAAAGTTTTATATTTTTTTTAATCAGATCATTTTTCTTGCTTTACGGGAACACTTTTGACCTTGACTTGATTTCTTCTGAAGGTGAAAACAAAACGATATTTTCACTTGATTGATGAATTTGAGATACTTTGACTAGAAAACAAGACATTGTAAATAAAAGCTTCTTTTTTTGCATTGTGATTATTCAATTTCCATTCCTGAATATTGTTAAACTCCCCAGAAAATGATCAAATAGAGCTATTTAAACCACCTTCAAACTGTACTCAAATCGCAATACTTATTGTAAATTATCGCAAATTACTTATTGTAGTATTTAATACAACATAGCCATGCAGATATTTATACTTAAAATATACACATTAACACATTTTGAACATATATTTTTATTTTGGATGCAATTATTCATGATTAATCACTTGACAGGACCAAAAATAAAGATTATTGCAGTGTGTTCTTACAAGAACTACTATTTCAGTCTTTCAACTTCAAAATGTCATGTTTAATTCAGTGTGTTGCTGGCAGTTTCTTTGTAATTATTAATGAACTTTACAAAGCAATTTTGAGGTCAAAATTAAAGTCAATCCTACATGTAAGAGCCACATTTCATAGTTTATTGTTCAAGGTAATTATCATAATTCTTGTTGATTTGTAAGTCATATACTTTTAATAGTTTTTTCTACTGCGCATGTGTAGAATGCTGTTTTATGCATGTTTAGGACACACCTTTGTTAGTGTGATGTGCAGGTGCTGGAGAGCACTGTAAAGTCAGAATTCATCAAAATGGAAAAAACTAGTTTAATTTGAGTGAATTGTGACAAAATTGTGGATCTCTGATGTAAAAATAAATAAAGATACACAGAATTGGATGGACTCTTGTGTCGTGATCAAGTGAAGAGCTCTAATACGCGTCAAAACTTGTGAAATGATCATAAGAAGGTTATGTTCCCTACACTACACGTTTTCTTGCTTTTATAAATGAAACACGACACGGCCAAGTTATTAAATTCACAAAAATCGTCAAAACAGCAGAAGCAGCTTGACTTTAAGGTTACAATAAGGTTGTAATAGTCTGTTAATGTATTTACTAACATGAACAAACAAAGAGCAATACATTTCTTACACAGTATTTATTCATCTTTGTTAACAGAGTTGTTTAATGTTAGTTCATGTTAACTCACAGTGCAAATTTAATGTTAACAAGCATGAATTTAGATTTTAGTAATGCATTAGTAAATGTTAATCTATGATTAATAATGCTGTACAAAAATTATTAGTTCCTGTTAGTATATGCATGAATTAAAGCGAACAAATCTAATCAAACTGTAAAGTGTGACCAAAATAATTCATTAAATTTGACCGTATTTGCAGCTACTGAAAGTTAATAAGTAAACACTGCCAAAAACAATACTTTTTTTGGTATATTATTCACGTTTAAAAACCTCAGGAAAAGGAAAAAAACACCACGCAGAATGTATTCATCTCTTTCGTCTCCTTCTTGGAGCATCTAAACAGCTCAGGAAAGGTAGCAGCTGCTGTGTAAAATCTGACAGGATGGTAGAAGTTGCCGGAGAAAGAGTGTGCGGATGACTTCAGAGGGAATAAATTAGCGTCAAAGTGTCTTATTTCAGTCATCTGCTGGAGCTTAACTTTCATATCGGGGGAGAAAGTGCTCGCCTTCTCTGCCCCTGCAGATCTAAGCGCGTTAGGATGGTGGCGGTTTTATTCATTGTGCTGACAGACACTCTCTCAATCTAATTTACAGCACCTGGATAACACAAGAGGTGCAGGTCAATGGATTTTCACATTGATTTTTTTTTTTAAAGATCAGTCAGGATGACAGGATAATTTTTGTTTAGTGTTTTAAATTATGTTTTATAATTAGAATTCATAATTCTAAACTCATAATAATACCATTATCAACATTACATCTCCCTCATTCCCTAATCTCCAATGTTTTTTACATATTTTATTTAATGTTATTACCGCCAATGATTATTCATGTTGTAGTTACTGTACGTTGCTCTAATTATACTTTTCCACCCATACACACAGATTGATTCACACATGGGCACACACACATGAGCGCGCACACACACGAACACATTTGATTCATTTTATTTGGAATGACTAATACTAATTAAAGCAACACAGCATCCAAATTATCATAAAGAGCCCATGATGTTTCACAGTACAAGCAGTAGATACACACACACACACACACACGCACGCACCTTTGGCTACAGACCATTTTGAGGAATGTAAACAATAACAATAGTACTAATGTATTAGATTTGAGAGGGGTCTGGCTGCAGACCTGGTGCAGTGCAATCTGGGCTGCATCCAATGCTTTTTAATGGGCTCACCTAACCCCACCCCTAACCCTACCTGTCACAGTGACGTCACTAGCTCTATTTGAGTGCATTGTGTCAGACATTGCATCGCTGAGTGATGCAGTCTCAGCTTGCATAATAAAGGCTGCATCCAGATACTATTGTTAGATTTTGAATTTCCATAGCTTTCAAGAATCCAAAAAGGTTCAAGTATTAATAATAAACATTACGGCAGCCATTTTAACATTAAGATATGATTAAATTATTTAAATAAACAAGCAGGAAATGTTTATGTGCCAGTGACACTGCTACATTGAAATGGTCTATAGTTGTTTGACCTGTACGTTATGTTTGACCTTATGTTTTATTGTATTTTTATAGATGATTTGTCTCCTGTAATTTGTGTATCTGTTTGTTTAACAATAAAATACAAATAAAACAATCATGTGGTGTGAAAATCCTGTGTACGAGTGTAGATAAACACGCATTTTTTACATACAGGGGATTATTGTGGTACCTCTTTTCCTAGACTACGCTACCTGACAAAAGTCTTGTTGTTGATCCCAGTTGTAAGAGCAACACATAATAACTTGACTTCTAGTTGATCATTTGGAAAAGTGGCAGAATCATCTGTTAAACTGCATCCCAATCATCACAAATACTGCAGAAGACCTATTGGAACCTGCATGGACCCAAAAGGCTCATAGATATCAGTCAAGTTTGGTGAAGTAAAGATCATGGTTTGGGTTGCATTCAATATGGGGGTGCGGAGAGATCTGTAGAGTGGATGGCAACATCAACAGCCTGAGGCACCAAGACATTTGTGCTGCCCATTACAATACAAACCACTGGAGAGGGCAAATTCTTCAGCAGGATAGTGCTCCTCATACTTCAGCCTCCACATCAAAGTTCCTGAAAGCGAAGAGGGTCAGAGTGCTCCAGGATTGGCCAGCCCAGTCACCAGACATGAACATTATTGAGCAAGTCTGGGGTAAGATGGAGGAGGAGGAGGCATTGAAAATGAATCCAAAGAATCTTGATGAGCTCTGGGAGTCCTGCAGGAAAGCTTTCTTTGCCATTCCAGATGACTTTATTAAAAAGTTATTAGAGTCACTGTAGAGATGTATTGATGCAGTCCTCCAAGCTTATGGGAGACAAACACAATATTCATTCTTTTTCCACTGCAGCATGACTTTATATTCTATACTGTACATTACTTCTGTTAAGTGACAAAGATTTTGTCTAAGCAAAGTCAGACCTTGCTGTCCTAATTAAATTATTAAAAATCAATTTTGGTATTTTCAATTTCTTATTTTGGTAAAATAGTAGTCGAGGCCTTTGCCTTTCATATAAGCCACTTCTGATACCAAATGATCAATTAGAAGTCAAGTTATTATTTATTGGTCCAAAAAATTGGATAGGTGGCAAGACTTTTAACAGGTAGTATCTGAAGCTTTAGACTAGAGTTCCAGAAAGAAGGCTATGTGAAATATCTGGATAACATCAGCCTGAACTAAAAGTTTCTGAGACTTTTTTTCACTTTAACTGTAATGCAATATGGAGTAGGGGGTGGGGCTTTTTTTTTGTACCTCAATACCTCATAGCAAACTAGTGTCAAGAGGAACGTGGTTACAACATTGTGGCTAAAGTAAACAAATGGACCTTGATATATACCTTCTATATATATATTTAAGTATATATTTTTGGTGATCAATAAAAAAAAACCCTCAAACTGAACTGGAATAAGTTAAGGGATTTGGGATTTTTTTGGATAAACTACCCCTTTAAATTCTGTATTTAAAAAAAGAGGAATTGTCAAAACAATATAGATTTTCACATATTTATTGTTCCATCAGATGCCACAAATGTCACGACACTGTGCATATCTTCATACAGAACACTAACAAAACACAACAACATAACAACATTCGATGCTCACGCTGAGTTTGCAAAGGTGTACAAAGCACACAGATCATGAAAAACCGCATCTGATAATGCCTGCAAATTCCTTTAATCAAAATAAATTCTGAAATATAGAAAAAGTGATTGTCTGAAACAGCAAAACACGTTCAGTGGCAGGCGTTTTACAAACCCTGGCCTGAGAATTAAAAACAAATCATTCAATACTTTATTTCTCCAACAGCACACGATCTGTATTTCAATAGTTATAAATCGAATGCAAATGAGACAAACAAAGTAAGCCTCATGCATGCAGAAATAACTACCTAGCAGTGTTAGTCATTTATTTGTGAACCCACTTATCAAAGTCAGCATGAGATTTATGTTAAAATAAATAGACGATAAGTTAAAAATAAGCTGAAAACGATAGTGACATTTTAGATCCTGGCCATAACTGATGATTAATGGGGTTTTACCTTCAAAGAGTGTCAGTAAGCAAACAAAAGTTCACCACAAAGCGTAACGGCCTCGTTATATCATTATGTCAGCTACAGAGATTATAATATCCGAAGCGTTCTTAAAATACAGCTTTATACATTTGCATAGAAAAACAAAGGTGCTTAATAGGATGGAAGGGAAATATGTGTTAGTATTTAATAATTAGGCTAATAAAAGAGAACTACTGGCAGTACAAATATTGTCAGTTATTTTGAACTACCCAAAAGAGGGCAAATTTCTCATGTAAGGGTTGAGTAAAAATTATTTAATCAGAGTTCAAAATAATATTCATTAATATTACTATCATATTTTGGTCGGTCTCCTTTTCAAGTACTAATAAAAATCCTCAATAAATACAAATTAAACAAGTGTCTTTGTCAGTCAAGAATCAAGAATCAAACTATCAAAACTATTAAAACAACAACATTATTATTTAAAGTCGCAATCATAAACTGACACTTCTGATGTGTTGTTTGAGGAACTCCTCTGAAATGTCGATGTTATTCTTTAGCTTATTATCCTTCCCATCTTTCTCGCTTTCTTCCCCTGAAAAACTGCTGAGTCGACTGAGATGTTCGACCGAGTCATACTTTTCAAGATCAGATTTGATGGTCCGGAAGCTGACCATGGAAAGAGAGTCTGAACCAGATCGTGTCACCGCTCCTTTTCCCATGTCCACCCAGTCTGGATTAGACTCCACCCACTCCCTGGAAATAGCCATGCCCTCTTTTCCATGCACCCACTTATTTGGTCTCATATAGCCTCCGCCCTCTGTACCTGTGCTGCTAACGGTCTCTGCTCCTACAGGAGGACTCCGCCCACTGCACGTGCTGATTGGTCCGTTCATCGTTTGGTCCTGTCCCCTCTGCGCGTGAATCTCCTCGCTGATTTGCTCCAGGTTGCGCAGAGTGCTGGAATAGTTGACCTTGGCTTTGGAAATACGATCTTCTAACTGTAAAATTCTTGCCTTGTGCTCCTGCAAAGACATTTCTTTTTTACTTACATTGTAAATTCACAGCGCATTGCTATAATCTTAGAGACAGTTTATTAAACAAAAATCAAATTGTGCTATCATTTACCCATAATCATGTTTTGGGAGATTATGCAAAATACTAAAAGTTACTTTAATTTTAGTTTTTAATCTTACTTTGAAATACATATAGTTGCGGTTTATTATTACAATTTTTAGGGAGTTAAGTAATCATATTATTATATAAGCACCAAAAACATTATCTTTAACAGTAGATTATAAGCAAGAGTTGGGCAGAAATCTATTGTATTCTTTAGATTGTAAACAGTTTTGAAATGGCAAGCTTATTCACCTTATTCTTCGCCGACGAGCGGGCACAGCCATTTGAATCTTTTTGACTCAAAACTTCCAGTCTCATTCACTTCCATTCATTTTTAGACATTAAAAACTGCTCGTTTCGCTGTTTAATGTTGCAAACTGATATTTCCTTATTATATTATTCTACTTGGTCTGTATAGTCATGCAAAAATTTGTTTGTAGAGCAAGTAGCTTAACCGTTTTCTGCCGTTTATTATTCCTAGTCATTTCTCCCATAGGCAACTGAATCGGAAGTTCTAAAACAATCGCGAAAACAGGCCCGTTTCCGTATATTAGAATAAGGTTGAAGGATTCGGATTTCTGCTTTCCAATCCGTCTCATCATGGACCAACGTTTATCCTTTTCATCATCCTGTTTCTCAGTATTTAACTGAATTGATTTTAACTAATGAATAAGTTAAAACTGCTTACTGCAAGAATGTTCTATGTCCTTGTTTCTCTTTTTGCCTGTCTATTTTAACTTTGTTTTTAGGAAACACACAAACCAGGTCATAAGTCATGGAGATCTCTCTCTCTCTCTCCCCATACAGAGGAGAAGAAGACACCTGTTCTAGTTGTCCTGATATTGCCTATAATATTATAGCTGTTTGATTGATCTGTTTTTGAGTATAATTAATTTTTATGTAACTCCTTTTTGTGTGGAGATAGACTGTGTGTAGTAAAGATATTGCAGCAGACTGTTGATGGAAACAGTCTTGAACCAGCCTGATAACACAGCTGAACGTACAAGAAACATCCTTAAGTCTTTAACACAGATGGTCGTTTGTGTCTATTGTTTTCCTGGTTTAGCTTTTTACAGGTCGGAGATCAGCTCCTAATAACTTAGGGCGACCTCACCTCTAGGCATCAGGTCGCCATCCATCTCTGGAGACAGATACAATGCTTTCTTTGACGCACGTATTAAGGCCATCCATATCTGGAAGTAGATACTATGTTTCTTTGACGCATGTATTTAGAATTGTCTATTTCTGTTGTAACCAATGAGGACTGTTTACCTGGATCCCACCCTTTCTGGACTTGTGTAAAGAGTATAATTGTTCGATTGTTGAAACTGCAAGCAGAGCGGCCTAGGAACTCATTGAGAGTGTTGAAGCTGGCTTCTGCGAATGAAACTGCGAACTATCTTCAGTAAACTTAATTTATTTTTTTTAAATCTCTGACTCCGGCTCTTCTTCATCTACCAGACTGGTCATTCTTTGGGTTAAACTGTAAACTATCCCTACAAGGTCAATAGAATGCAATGCATCTTTTTTGCTTTGAATGTGTTCATATTTATTAAATTACTTCTTTTATGGTTCTTCAAAGCTGGTTTTTTGTTTATTTATTTTTCTAAATATCTGAAAGACTCTTAAGACCCTTTTTAAGACGTGCAATTAATAAACACAATATTAAAATTAAATATTTATTTAATTTTTATATATAATTTTATTAATTTAATTTAATCATTCAAGTCAATGGAAAGTCCTAAAAAGCCATGAAAATATTTATTTAATATGCAACCAAAAATACTGATAATGTTTAACAATTAGGTATACTGTTTTTGTATCTAAACAAGCCCTTATATATATTTGATAATGACAATATGCAGCAAAGTAATTACTGCTATTCCCTGATTCCCTTAAAGGGCACCTATAAAGCAGTTTGGACAGAATTGTGTGTAGGTATAGTGTGTCCACAGTCATATTGGGGTAATATAAACACAATAAGTCTCTTTTTTTATTTCCTGATGTCAATATAGGATCCAAATCCCTCCCATTTTGAGCCCCATCGCAACATGATGCAGGAGTACGGTTTCTCGACCCACCGAATTGATTGAGAGCCACGTATTAACATGTCTCCGTAGTAACGCGTATAATCACATCAACAAGATAGGACGTGCACAAACCAACCGGGAATAAAAAATCTGCTCAGCTCTCTGTGATCATTAATCATCATGATTTGCTTTGCAAAAACAGTGCAAAGTTAAACGCACGCACTGTATGTGTGTGTAAATGTGTGTGTGTGTGTGTGTGCATGAACCTTTTAACGACATTGTGTGCGACTCATCGCAGAAAGGCTTAACTTAACTCCATAACAAATACATTAAATAATTATTTCTCACAAAAGTTACGGGAGATCTGCTTCCTTCATGTCTGTCACTGTACTGTTAATAGGCTCGTTTGAGGTGCGCCTCGCCTTGACTGCATTGTTGACGAGAGCAGGTGTCCTCAGTAAGAGGAGGGCTCAAAATATACATCAGAAGTCGGACACTTCCCGAATCTCGCTGTTTTGCCGCCTGGAAACGTTATCAGTGGTGGAGATCGCGTTCGTGTTTTTTTTTTTATCAAAATTCACACAAATATACAAAAAAGTGAAAATGACAACAAATCAGACTTTAATATAAGAGATAAATAAAATACAGCACAAGCACATCCTAATGGGTTATTAGTAACATTTAGTTATATTAGATAGGTAACGTTATGTTTTTACAAAGATGTGTTTTGTTTTTATTTGCGTGTAAATCTAAATAAATAACCATATGTAATGCTTTTTATGACTTTTTTTTTAAATTTCAACGAAAATACAAAAAAGGTATTCAGCAAAGCCAGGTATAAACCTTAGTAAAACAAGATAAAGAATAAGGTGTAATGTGTCAGTCTCATCCAATAAGCATTCAGCTGTGTCGTCAGCCAATCGCTTCCCATCATGCTTTGGTGAGCGCAGTCTTTGGAGAGCAACAGCTGCCGACTGCTCAATCCGAGGTTTTTGGCGCACATCAGCGTGACATCAGAGCATGGCGAACAAAACTCAGACACATTTCTAACCGGCATGCATTGCGGTGATCTCCAGTGATCAATTTTGCGCAGATTTTGGCCATCTTAAACAAGCCTTATCTGACGCAGCAGAGGCGGAGATTGAGGCACATTCTGAGGGGCACGTGGGAACGGTGGGCAGGTAGAACCAGCATTAAAGGCACAGGCCACAAAACCAGCTAACAATTCCAATATTCTAAAAGGTATAAAAAATAATCTGATGGGTGTTTTAAGCTGAAACTTTACAGACACATTCTGGAAACACAAAAGACTCACCTTAAATCTTGAAAAAGGGGTAAAATAGGTGACCTTTAAATCCTGATATTCATGATCTCTTAAAATTAAGACTTTTTATGATCATATATCTAACCAAACTGAACTGAAAACTATGATTATACACGTTTCTCTTATTCACATTTATTATATTGAATATTTTTTTTAAAAGTGGCTTTGAAACGACAGGAACGTTGAATTTCTTTTTTGCTTCATTTGTTCATTAAACTGCAGCACACATGTCATATTTGTCCACACCAACACTAAAGAACTATAACAAAACGCTGACGCACCTCTAGGATGTCATTAAACTGAGCTTTAAGCTCAAAGTAAGACTTGGACTTGACGATGGCTCTCTTAAGGGATTTCTGGAGCTCCTGCACTCGGGCTTCAGCCTCCTGACACAGCTGAGTGACGCGCATGTGCTCGTGCTCACTCTTTAATCGCTCCTCTTCAGCCTCGTTCACCTGGACAACACAACAACAGACTCAAATCACTCATGAGCAATGCTGTGGGTGAATGGGTGAAATATAATCGGTGTAGGTACATAAAACCCAGCAATAATTCTGAAGCTCACTAATGCTGCATTTATTTGATTGAAGACTCACTAATACTGCGAGATGTTATATTTAAATTCAAAATAGTTTTTTCTATTTATTCTATTTCTATTTTTTTGTCTATTATACAGTCAAATGTAGAGATGCCATGTGAAGAGATCAGAAGAGCTGTTTTAAAATATTATTAATGTTTCCAAATGTTTGGCTGGAAATGTACACATTTACATGAACTACATTTTCAGTTCAAGGTACTGTGATTTGGAACAACCTGCTGCTTGAACTAAATAAGCAAACAGATTTAAACAGATTTCAAAGATCTAAATCAGGTTTGTGAACACTGATCGTCATGCAGGTTTCTTTTTATTTTCTTTAATTTTTTGTATTGGTATTTTGAATTTGTAACGTATCATTTTATATCTATATTATAAACAGGGCTTGACATTAACTTTTTTGATCACCAGTTACTGTGGCTAGTAGATTTCCAACATTACTAGCCACTCGCCTTTTCACTAGCCACAATTTTGTTGTTTGGAAAATACATTTTACGTGCAGAAATTTGACTTTGACATGCTAAAATTACTTGATTTAGATTTTTTGTCCACGTGCCTCCTTGTTACTTTCACTTTTTTGTGTGTTGTGTATGAGCTCGCTGGATAAAGCATGAGCAAATAACAACAATTCGTTTTTATTTCACATGACTTAAGAAAAATGAATTAATGAATTAATAAAAAACAAATATCTAATTAGCCGCAAATTTTAAATAATGTGTCAAAACAAACTAAATATAGCTGTATATATGCACTTTTTATTCAACAAAACTTTTCTTTAAAAAACAAACAAAAAAACAGTTGACATATAAAAAAAAAGAATTATTGTCATGCATCTAGAGCTATGCACAGTAATCTGTCCTGGCTAAAAATCTCAGATCACCAGTTAACTACACATAAATAAATGGGGAGTTAATCTCCTATTAAAGCAATGCTATTGTAAGAAATTATAATTAAACCATATTAACAAAAATAACTGTAAGAAAAAAGAAAGCATGTGAAAAACATGATGTGTGTGATAATAAAAGGATGATCACATGCACATGGATAACATTAAGCCCATCAATAATCTGTTCAAAGAACAGTTAAAGCAAAAGCAGCAACTGCTGCTGCTTACAAAAAGACATTTTTTTAAACATCTGAAGCTCTTAAGAGCAGCAGGACTGTGGGTGAACAAGCATCACGTTTTGTCCAGTCTTTTTCAAAGAGAACCAATTTCACCAGTTGCATTTCCAGGCACGGTTGCTTCGCATAAGAAAACGGGAGTGCGCATGCTTTTTAAACAGTCGTGCATGTTTAAGCTTAATTCACTCTGGTAATCAACTATCCCTCTAAAACAAGGAATTTCAGCAAAGCAGGTTTTCTCTGCTTTCTTTTACTTCACATGCTTGCGTATATCAATGATGTCACACTACAAATTACAATTTGACCATACATGGTCTTTCCCATCCTCAGCCTGCTGACCATATATAACATATTGTAACAGTGCGCATCACATCACCTGTGCATGCAAATGATCATCCTTTCATCCTCTTATTTGCTTGTGTGAATACAATTATTTTTGTCAGTCGTGCTGCTTCTTGATTCTAAGATTGCATTTCCATTACACTACAAAAATATAAGCATAAGCACAAACATAAGCAGAATGGTAATATGCTTTTTGATACTGTCGCATAAAGACGCTTATACATGTTTCTCCTATACACATTTATTTTTAAGTGGCTTTAAAACAACAGGGAGGAATAAAGGAAGAGTTCAGAAGCAAAAACCTCTAAGTGCCGTCTAAAATTTCCATTGAAAATTAATATTTTTCTCAGCCTCTTTTGTTTATGTTTAGTTATTTCACTTTAAAGACCACAAAAAGGGCTTTTTCTTTGCCATAAAATTGATATTACTGAACCTACACACAGGAGCCGGATAAAAATGCTTATTTTAGAAGAAAAATTCAGATGCCATTTAGAGGTTTTTGCATTTGAACTCTTCAAATTTTGAAAGACTTTATATTTCACTACCTTCGCGGTAGCGTGATTCAACATCTCCTGCCAGGTTGGATCCAGTGTTTTTACTACGGTGAGACCCTGTTCAGCCACATGAACCATCTCTCGAGCAGCCGAGTGCATGGAAACTGCTCTCTCAAAGCTGAGTGCTGCTTTCTGGGTCTCCTGCTGGGCCTAGGAGTCAAAACAATCACATACTGAATTTAAGAAACAACAGGATTTGATAAGAGGAAGTTGGGACTGAATTAAAGAAACAGTTTCACCTAATAAAATCCTGTTGTTTCTCTAATTCAGTCATATATTGAAATAACAGGATTTGATAAGGTGACGATTGCAACTGAGGCTGTGCAATTAATCGAAATTCAATTAAATTTAGCCTACAACAAATGACAAAAAAGCAATAATCCACATAAAAAGATATGCGCACTGCTGGAAAGTGGTGGGATTAGTTCATCCACAAAGTGCAATCTCATGTGTAAATCAGTCAAGTCATTACAATATTGATTTATTAAAGTTTATTAGATTTATGTATGTGTTTAAAAGTGCAAAAGAGAACTTGTGCTGAGCTAAGCACCAGAAAATAAATAAAACATGTAAAATCCGCTTTAGTGCACCTAAATTGTCAAGCACACGCAAAAATTTGTCAAAATGCAATGTTTAGTGATTATTCCCACAAACCCTCATTTGTTCTGAAAATAAAAAAAGCATGTGTAACTGTAAATTGGATCCGTGTGGCTCTTAAAGTGACAGTGTCCTATATTCCTGCTGTCTGCTGTGCTTATCATTAATCAAACAACAAAATACAAGTTCAAATTCTTTAAATAAATCAATCAAAAAAGTTTTAGCCAATTTAGAATCATTTTAAATAATCCTGATTACAACTGTGATTATAATTTTTCCATAATCGAGTTGTGAGTGTAGTGTTTGTCAAATAAATGTCTTTGTAAATGCTACCTCTTTTGCTTTTCTTCGTGCTTCATAGTAAGGTCTGGCCTTCTCAATGCATGAACCCAGTTCTGAACTTTTGGCCTTCAGTTTAAGCACAGATTCACTCATTATCCTTCTGTGGCTGGACCGAACTTCCTAAAGACCAAAAAAGAAAGATTTTTTCCTTTAATATCACATGATATTCACGACAGGTTATTGATAAAATAAAATGTGTTCATCAAGCCAAATACATCATGACTGTTAATCTTATTGGGCATCTAGAACATAATGATAAATATGAAACATATCTTATCTTTACTATATGGGTTAGTGGCAGAGTTATTGTGGTTTACTAAACTGAAACAATTTTTAAAATCTTTTTATTTCAGCTATTAACCAATAAAACTTTAAAAAGTTTAAAAGTAAAATTTTATCCTGCTGTACTGACACCAAAACACATCATATACAACAACTTTTAAAAATACTATTAAGAGAATATATATTTTTAAATTTCTCAGCAAATATAGGTAATATATTTTGGGTGTATTGATACAAAACAGTTTTATTACAGTAATAATCAATAAAAAAGTTGTTTGGTCATCTAAAATATTTAGGAGAAAAATCATACATCTAAATTCAAATAAAGTTTTGCAAAAAAAAATACTAACTACACAACTAAATTGAATATTCTTTACAGATCTCTTGATTATTTATTTAATATTTTCGACTTTTTTTTATTTATTTAGGGTTTTTCCCTCACATATTTGTTGGGCTGTACAATTTTTTGGCACTAGGATCTTAAGTTATTTTGTTAGATAAGCTCCAGTTTTGGTTTCAGTACTAACTAATCTAATGTAAACAAGTAAATGTTTTGTATTACATACTACAGAAAGCATAAATAAAAAGAAAAATCTGCAATGGGTGTATTCATTTATGCTGGGCACTGTATATAATAAAATTATTTTAAACATTACATTATAATATATTATATTATATTTCATTAACCATTTTAAATTATTATTAAAATGTATTATTAACATAACTAAAACTATTAAGAAAAACATAAACTAAAACCAACTTGAAACTTTTTTTTATTTTACTTATTTGGTGAAGAAACTTGTTGATTCTTGTGGTTTATTAATAAATAAATAAATAAACAAATAGTAATAAATATACTAAAAATGTTATTATTAAAAATTATATTTTTATCTTATAATAAAAATGTCTATACAGTGTGATATAATATAATGTAATATAATATAATATAATATAATATAATATAATATAATATAATATAACATAACAAAATATAATATAATATAATATAATATAATATAATATAATACTTTTAATCAAATTTATTATAAAACTGGGTGTTGGTTGACTAATGTTTAATAATCAAGCTAAGCTAGTAGCACAAAGGCTGCAGCTTTAATCTCAAGTACATCTAAAAAAAAAAAAAAAGATTATAGTCTTATTGGATAAAAGTGAGTGTAAATTACAATGAGCAACAAGAAGCATATATTTTGAAGTAAATGAATATCCAAAATGTCCTTAAAGTTAGAATTGTCCAAAGTGCACTGTCTGAATGTCCACATACTTGCAGTTCCAGCTCCATCTTGTTGATCTCCTCGCTGGTCTCATTTAGACATTCTAGTTCCTCCTGGACAAAGAAACACAGTAAATGATAGGTACCTTATCTTGGCTACTCATTAAAGGTTGCTGGTTTAATCTGAAGAAGTGTGACCTAGAAACTGGTGTGATAATAATGGGATTCAAATTATTCATTTATCAAAAATGCACTTTGATTTATTATTTTTATTACCTCTTTATTATATATATATATATTTTTTTTTTCGTCAAAAACTGAAGGTCTATCACTATTGGTGTATTTTGCTAAAGTATTAGATGTACCAAAATCAGTTATTTAAAAAAAAAAATTCAGGGATGTCAAATGTCATATGGAAAAACAAACCTCACTATTTAAATAGAAATATTTTATGTAATTCATATAATCAAGGAGGTTTGAATGTGCTTCATTTTGATACTTCTAATACAATTTTAAGTTGAATTGGATTAAACATTATATCAAACATAAAAATAAAACATGGTATATAATCCCAAACCTTATTTTTGGAAAAGTCAGTGGTATAGAGTTTCTTTTAAAGTGTGACTTTGAAATTAATAAGCTCCCGGGCCATTCAGTTATCTAATTTTTATAGGCAGGCTCTTGTATGTTATCTATCAAAATAGAAACTGTAATTATACATTTCTTAAAAGTTTGGTTATTGTCCTGCAACCTTTAGACACAAGTACTTTTGGAATAACCAATTTCAGAATATTAATTGGAACTTGACCTGGACTTACAACAACAAATACTGTGTCACTAATAAAGTCAGTAAAACCTACTTTAAAATTACACATAAAATAGATCCAACCAACCAGTTTCTCAAGAGGTATAAAGTTGATCTTTCTGAATCGTGTGTTTTTTGTGGAATGGATGTTGACACTGTTATGCATTTGTTTTTTGATAGTAAAGTTGTGCATGTTAGATATTTCTGGTTTGATGTTGAATGTCTATTTAAATATACTAAGTGGTCATGGAATTATTATTAAGAAAAAAGATTTTAAATATTTTACATAGATAAAAAAGATATAGATAAGAATCTCCTGTTTATGTTAAATCTGTTAGGCAAATTTCATACACACAAGTGTAAATGGTCGGAGAGGAAGCCTAACATCTTCCATTTCAAGGCTGATTTAAAAATATATATATATATTGAAACTCTTAAAGGACTTTCAAGTCGTAAAGCGATCAGAACTGTGAATATACGTTGCCTAATAAGCTAAACTCATCTTCTCCATGATAACGTAAAAGTTATGTATACATGCTCTTGTTCTTTGTTTTTCTTTCTCTCCTTCTTTTTTCTTTCTTTTAACGTTATTAGCGTATTAACTTTAACGTTAGTGCAAAATAGTTTACAAAAACGAATGAATATCTTCAGAGAACAGTGCTGTGTCAGTATATAAACATTACCTTGATTCTAGGATCCAGTTCCTCCTCAGTCAGTTTTCCATGTAGTGAGTTTTCATCTGGACATTTGGAGTCTCTACTCTCAAGGTCAGTTTCCTCGGACTCTCCATCAGCCTCTCGTCCCTCACCGGTCTCCTCCTCCTCCGGCGCCCGATTTCCTCCTCTCTCCTCCGCCAAAGCAGCCCCTGAACCCGCAGGACTTTCACGCAAAGCCGCTGGATCCATTTACAGGCCTCTCCGGAAATTCAGGATGAAATAATTTCAATTAAAAAGTAGAAAACCACCAGATCGAAAGCGAATAAGAGAAGTACCGTTGAAGTCTCTCGTCTGAAGGTATTTTAACTATATTTTTCTTCCTCCATGGTGGTTTGTTTACGCTGCTGCTGTAAACCAGCACATAAATAAACCGGACGGATGAGTTTGAAAGTGGTTGGAAATTAAATATAGAGTTAAAATGACAAATAAGTCCATTCATTTGACTCAAATTTACCCCATATTTAACACAGCATTCCTCTACTGTGTGCTCGAAACGAAATGTGACACACGAGTGAGGTAAATAGAAAACGCGAAATCAAACCTTTCAGGACTGCCTGAGCTACGGTAGTTAACGTCAGAGCCGTGGCTCTGGCAACATACGTCATAACGTGGGAGTGCTCCGGTGACGTAGTTAACTTGTGGCTAAAAATAACATTACTTTTTGTTTGGTGAATCTCATATGCCAGAAAGCTTAATTTAGTATATATAATAAGTATATATATAAATCGAATAAATGACTACATTCTACAGAAATATATAATTATGAATGTGTGTGGATAGACAGATACTGTAGATGATATTATAGAGACTAGATAGATAGATAGATAGATAGATAGATAGATAGATAGATAGATAGATGGATAGATAGATAGATAGATAGATAGATAGATAGATAGATAAATAGATAGATAGATAGATAGATAGATAGATAGATAGATAGACACTATATTTAAATAGAAACAGTATTGTAGATAACGTACTATAGACATTAGACATAATAGATAAGATAGATTATCTACAGTATCTTTCGTGTCTATATTATCCATAATATCTTTCTTTCCAATTCTCTATCTATAGTCTATATTATCTACAGTGTGTCTGTCTGTCTATCTATATATCTATCAGTAGTCTATCTGTAGGTAGATAGATACTGTTGATGATATAGACTAGATAGATAGATAGATAGATAGATAGATAGATAGATAGATAGATAGATAGATAGATAGATAGATAGAACACTATACTGTCAATAATATAGACTATAGATAGATCATAGACTGTATAGACAGAAGATACACACTACTATAGATAATATACTGTAGACACTATAGATAGATAAATTGATCTTGTACATAATATAGACACTGAAGACATGAAAGCAAAATATATACTGTAGATAATAGACATAAGACACATAATAGATAGATAAGATTATCTACAGTAGTATCTTTTGTGTCTAAATTATCTAAAACATCTATTTTTCTATAGCAGGGGTCATCAAACTTGATCCTGGAGGGCCGGTGCCATGCAGATTTTAGCTCCAACCCTAATCAAACACACCTGAACAAGCTTATCAAGGTCTTACTAGGTATACTTGAAACACCCAGGCAGGTGTGTTGAGGCAAGTTGGAGCTAAACACTGCAGGGACACCGGCCCTCCAGGACCAGGATTGGTGACCCCTGATCTATAGTGTCTATATCATCTTCAGATAATACAGACAATAGATAGACAGACAGAATAAACACTGTAGATAGATAGATAGATAGATAGATAGATAGATAGATAGATAGATAGATAGATAGATAGATAGATAGATAGATAGATAGATAGATAGATAGATAGATAGATAGATAGATAGATAGATAGATTTTTTTATTATTGTTGTATGGGTAAGAAATAAAGAGTCAATTAAATGTAACAACTGTATTTTCCTCCCAAACAAAATCCCAGCACAGAAGTAAAACACAAAACAATCGAAAATACCATGATTTCCCCCAACAAAATGCAATCACAGCGCTATAAACCATACACACAATCAAATAAAGACAGTACACAGAAATTAATCAAACAATCTCCTACATTTATAGGCACTTAGATCGGTTTTCACAGTTAAAAAAAATAAGTGTTACTTTTTAAAACACATTTTACACTCAAGTTCTGTTCCTGAACAAACACTCACTGTGTGAAAAATATGTCATTATAAGATTTTTCATTTATTAGCTCTGTCAGTTTAATGATTTGACTAATCAAAATGATCGTATAACTCCTACCATTGAGACATGATAATGAAACCTGAGGCAACAAGTTGGTTTGTTTATAATCTTTGGTATCGCGTTCATCCTGAAACCCCTTCAATGAGGTTTTCCATCATAAAGCAGCACAATGATAATTAATCTCATCAATGCTGTGAAGGGAATGATGTTTACATGCAATATTATTATTTTTTTAGTGTGCTTTGCACCTTAAATGTGAAGCAGGCACAGCCCACCTCAACTCCAGCTTGGATCATACCGACTCCAACCAGCAGGTGGAGCTAAATAAACCCTCTTCCCACGTAAAAGAAAGCTGACTGCTCCTCTATACCCAGCTCTTGGGACTCCAGATTTCAGGTCGTCCATTACGCCGAGATTGCGAGCCAAACTTTTAAAACTGTCCGGACTAGAATATTGCACCCGAAATGGGCCAGATCCAGACAGTTTACCACTCTTTAAGTCCTCCAATGTGACAAGTGAAGCAGCGTAAACCTCCTTCTCAAAGCTCTCATCATATTTCTCCTTCTCTAAATAAGACAGGTCCATTTTTGTAAAAGGCACAAATTCGGTGTTGAGCTTAATAAAGCGGAGGTACTTGTCGTAGAACTGCCCCAAACTCACACCCTTTCGACCGAAGGTTAACGTTCTGGATATTTCCGGTCTGATACAGGATCTGTCTTTGCGCTGATCAGGGTGGCGCATCCAGTCATCCCAAAAGGAGGCCGGCCATTTTGGCTCAAGCTCTGCCCAGAGGTCTTTTGTGAGCATCCAGCCCAGGCCTGGGAAAAAATCAGTCCTGTACAGGAGGCTCGCTTTTCCAGGGTCTACGAATCCATCCCGGCCGTTGTCATTCCAGGCAGACACGCACCACAGCGTCGGGTCGGATTTTAACATAGGATGAAGCGCTCTGAAGTACTCGAAGAAATCAGGGGCCACCTGGTGAAAGAGATCCAACGTAGAGTTAACAAAATAAAAATGGGCTTGTGATGCCAGCAAAGAAACAGTTCATTCCATCATGAATTATTACACTTCATGCCAGATTTTCTGATTAATCAGTGGTGGGAAAAGTACAGAAAACTCAAGCACAAGTACCATTACTTGCCCAAAAATGTAGTGCAAGTAGAGTACATGGTATGAGTAAAAAGTAGCCCTTTTAAAAGTACTCACGAGTAGAAAGTAGGGTTGTCGCAATACCATGAATTAATCTTACAACACTATACCAGCTGAAGTATCACAGTACTAAATAGTATTGCGATACTGTAATTTAAATTATAAAGAAAATTGTCGGAAATACTATATTGTACACGTTATGATCAAGCAGCAACCTCCCGCTCTCTCGATAGACCGTTAATGACGATACTACAGTTTACAAACTACAGTGGCACCGCCAGTATTTTGGAGCCATAGTATCACGATACAACCATAATACTGGCAAACCATGCAACCCTAGTAAGAAGTTGTATTACATTGTGAAAGGTTGAAGTGTTTACATACAAATAGTGCATGTGTGTGTGTGTGTGTGTGTGTGAAAACGTAAGATTCTGTAGTTAATTTAATGATCGTTTAAGGCCATTTCTGTCATCATATTGTAGACATCCTTCATCTTCTCATTAGTGACATGAGGTCTAAACAGTCTCTCAGTATAAAGACTTCAATCATTTATAAAGTACCCTTTAGTTAGGTAGTTGAGTATGATATGATCAAATAGATTCTACCCATAGACAAAAGTAAATAAAGTGGTGACTGCAGGTTGAAGGAAAAACAGTGGAGTAAAAGTAGCAATAGAGCATTAAAAATGTACTCAGGTGAAAGAAAATGTCCACATTTGTTAAACTACTTAGTAAATTAAAATTCCTGAGAAAAAAAAAAGTACTCAATTACAGTGATTTGAGTATTTGTAAATTATTACTTTACACCACTGCTGATTATAAATGATGGCTGTGTTAGAAAATTAATCTGACAAGTGTACCTTCCCCTAAGGGTTTTTATAGTTGATAAAGCTTTAACTAAGAGGTAATTAAACGTAATATAAAGTTGAAGTCAGAATTATTAGCCCCTCTGTATATTTTTATAAAATAATAAATAAAATAATGCCACGTGAGATAATTCTTGAATCCGCTTGTTAAGTGTGACATCACGTAAAGTTGCTTCTGGGTCCAAGTGCTATATCAAACTGTATGGGGAGACTCAACAAATGGAAATAATAAACGTTTACAAAGCGCTGTAATAATTTCGAAAATCACGCTCGCAATATATACATCCATGCCTACAATTCGATGGCCGGAAAGTGATGAATTTTTAGAAATTGTTAAAATATTGGTGTACGTGACGCAACAAATCCAGAGACTGTGTACAACATGATTTTATATAATATTCACTTTAATGTGTGATTGAAAAAAAGTGGTTATAAACAAATATTCTAATGAGTAGCAGCTTAAACCCGGAAACCGTATTCCATACGTCACAACTTAAGAAGCGTATGGGAGTGAAGTGACGCAACTGACGCAGGTAAGTCACGTGATGATGACAAATGGCGGATGTTGTACGTCCGAGTTCCATTCATATTCAAATTCATACTGTATACAACGTACTTTTTTAACGGTCGAGTAGTAAGTTCAAACTCAAATGTAGTAGCTATTAAGTAGTTGGTGATTTTGTGCGCAACTGCATGTAGTTTTACAAACACAAACACATTTGCTCACTGTAAAACATCAAAAAATAAAGATGTCTTAGGGGCCGATCACACCGAATACGCTTTTTGCGTCGAGAGGCGCCTTTTCTGAATGGTTTACTAATGGGAACAAGCATTATGCAAGCTGCTTATGCGCCCTGTACGCCTCGCTTTTTAACCGCCAGCTTCGCTTCGCATTTTTGCCCTTTGGTGCAGTGCGCTCGCAGTTAAAAAAAAAAGTCAACTCAGAGCAAAAAAGGCAGTTACGCAAGTGGTTTCTA